ATAAAGGACTGTTTGTTGAAGTAAATGGGATTTAATGTTTGTTTTTTCATGTGGTATCAAGAGTTTGAGTTAATTTTAGATTTTGTGACATAGTAAGAAAAAAATAAGGTTTAAAACAGTTAAATGATTGTCCTTTCTAAGTGTTTTTCATTGGGTTATGACACAGTAAATGCATATAACACTTTCAGTTCATTTGTTTTACTTGAGGCATTTTATATCTTCCATATATTCCTGCTGGGAGGTTTTCAGATCATTAATATGAAGATTTTGCATCAGCGGACTTGCAGATCTAACTTAAAGCAAAATGACAACCATGCAGGAATTAACCGATAAAAAACTGAATGTCTACTTCATATATTTCAGCGTGCCTCTACACCCCCATACACACAGAGTAAACCTGACTTCCTGTTGACTCTGAGATTCTGATTAAGCAGCAGATTGATTTATTAATCCCGCAGTTTCTCCGCTGCTCACTCAACTTGCTGCTCCAACCTCTAAACCCGAGGAAACAATGAACCCCTGAGCCCAGAGGCATGATGGGAAAAAAAGTGCTACTCAACTGGCTTTAGATAAGCCAGTCCTTTATTAGTATATAAGTGCTTTGTTAGTAAATGTATTGCTCGAAGTGGAGTCGAAAGAGATGAGTTTTTAGTCTGTGCCGGAAGATGTGTAAGCTTTCTGCTGTCCGGATGTCAATGGGGAGCTCATTCCTCCATTTTGGAGCCAGGATAGCAAACCGACGTGTTTTTGCTGATGGGAACTTGGGTCCCTCGCTCATACACCAATTCTCTGACAGACGGCAGAAAACCCGGCAGAAAACGCAGCGTTAATCCAACTCAGATGCTGTCAGATTATCACCACATGGAGATACTGCATTAAAAATGTGTACTTTTTCAAAGTGTTTGGAAAAGTTAGGAAACGCGCTTAAATATATATACATTCTAAAAGTATATATTTTATTTTTACGGGTATTTCATCAACATTCCATGTAAATATTGCTATATTTTAATGTCATTATAGTATTTTTAATGGTATTTTTCTTACAATTTATCTTCTTTGACTGTATATGTATGCACCAAATACACCATGGCAATAAACCTGTTACTGATTCTGATTAAATTGTGTTTATTAAATGTCCTCCATATTAAATGGGGAGGCGTGTGGTGCAGTGGGTTGTGCGTTGGTGTTTGGATTAGCGGGTCACAGGTTCAAACCCCACTGCAGTCAGCATGTCGTTGTGTCCCTGGGCAAGACACTTCACCCCAAATTGCTCCTGTGGGGATTGCCCACAGTACTGAGTATGTAAGTCGCTTTGGATAAAAGCATCTAACAAGTGAAATGTAATGTAATGTAAATATGTTTCATATCATTGTTATTCATCTTGTAATAAGTTCATTATTACTTTACATAACATCCATTTCTGTAAATACTTTATAGGGAAAGCAGATGTATGTGTGTCCAGCACGCTTTACACTATACAACAAAGTGCAGGAGCAATCTCAGGAAGATAAAAGTGTTTGTGGATAATTCAAATAAACTAAATAAATGTATTTGGGACACATTTTCAGGTCGGAAACAAGCATGGGACACTGTGAAGCCCACACACACAGACAGAGAGGAAACTCCTCGTCAGCTGTTCCAGAAGGACTCCTGTCAGTGTGTGTGTGTGTGTGTGTGTGTGTGTGTGTGTGTGTGTGTGTGTGTGTGTGTGTGTGTGTGTGTGTGAACAGCTGCTGGGTGTCATTGTCTGGGTTCAGTGTGACAGTCAGCCAAAAGTCTCAAAGCAGAACCTGTGCATCTCAAAAGTCCTGCCCTCTAATTCCACTCTGCAGCGATAAAGAGTCATGAAGATCTGCATTAGGGCTGCACAACATATCGTTTCATCATCATCTACCACGCAATAAGTCACACATACAGGACGTGTCAAGTAAAGCAAATTAATAGTACTTTTTACGCCGCTTGATACAAACAGGACAACTTCATCAACTTATCAAACAACCAAAATAGGTCTTGCTACTCGTCAAGTTATCTGAGAATGAACGCAAGAGCAGGAAACTTTGGATATTTCAAATTTGGAGAATATTTTGAGCTCGACACAAAAGAGGAATTTTTATCATCATCATCATCTGGTTAAAATTCCTGTATTTTTTCATATTGCAACAACAGCTTTGGACTATTTCATGCAGCCATAACCTGCATCCACAGATCTGGACAGCAGTGAGAAGATGTTTAATGCAACGCAGGTCTAAACAGGAAACAAGCTCTCTGTCGCTGAGAGGCAGCTCGCAGAATAATCCAACAAGCAGCCAAATGAAGTTCAACCAGGAAGACCGTCTTTACTCTTCATTGACTATTTCCACGTTACTACTCTCTCTCCTCTCAATAAGTGATCGGGGGCGTCACTCCCCAGCTTAACCAATCACTTTGCTCTATTCTCACAAGCCTATCATAGTGCTCTGCTAAACCTTTTAAATCTGCTCTCCCCTCTGACAGTTGTCATTTCAGGTGACTCAACGCAACCCCCCTCCACCCCTTTTCACCTCCTGTCCCTCTGAATCCAGGGTCAAGCTAAGCCACTCCCCTTCAGACCGAACCCAACTATCCATTCACCACCACCAGGGTCAAGCTGAGCCACTCCTCTTCAGACCGAACCCAACTATCCATTCACCACCACCAGGGTCAAGCTGAGCCACTCCTCTTCAGACCGAACCCAACTATCCATTCACCACCACCAGGGTCAAGCTGAGCCACTCCTCTTCAGACCGAACCCAACCATCCATTCACCACCACCAGGGTCTAGACCCCCGGGGGTTTCATCGGATCGGTTCTCCCCTCCCGAATGACACTCCTGCACAACTGGGCCCAATCTCCAAAATCCCCATTACATTCATTTGTGTATCCCTGGCAATAAATATGTATTCTTACATCAAAACTCCTGATTGAACAACGAGAAGGTCAAAGGTCAATAATGACATATCCTGAGGACACATGCAGCAGATTCACAGAGAGAGAGAAGGCAGTGAAACTAAAGCCAGATCCAGTTTTAGGCTCTCTGCTTTCAGCCTCTCTGACAAACCCTGGCAGCCGTCATGCTGTCGGGGGGAGCAGCTCTCACCCTGGAGTTTCATGTGATTATACGTCAACAAAAAGTCACTCATTATCTTTAAAACCATCGTCACATAACCGTAAAAGGTGGAATCTAACAGCAAAAATAAATCATGAACACCAGAAAAACTTCCAGATTCCCAGAGCAAAGAGTTAAAGGGGCCTTAGTCTGCTATTTCAGGTGTATATCAGTATGTAGTGTCTCTACTTTAAAGAGTCCTCTCCTGCTGATGTTCAGGTGTATATCAGTATGTAGTGTCTCTACTTTAAAGAGTCCTCTCCTGATGTTCAGGTGTATATCAGTATGTAGTGTCTCTACTTTAAAGAGTCCTCTCCTGCTGATGTTCAGGTATATATCAGTATGTAGTGTCTCTACTTTAAAGAGTCCTCTCCTGCTGATGTTCAGGTATATATCAGTATGTAGTGTCTCTACTTTAAAGAGTCCTCTCCTGCTGATGTTCAGGTGTATATCAGTATGTAGTGTCTCTACTTTAAAGAGTTCTCTCCTGCTGATGTTCAGGTGTATATCAGTATGTTGTGGCTCTACTTTAAAGAGTCCTCTCCTGCTGATGTTCAGGTGTATATCAGTATGTAGTGTTTCTACTTTAAAGAGTCCTCTCCTGCTGATGTTCAGGTGTATATCAGTGTGTAGTGTCTCTACTTTAAAGAGTCCTCTCCTGCTGATGTTCAGGTGTATATCAGTATGTAGTGTCTCTACTTTAAAGAGTCCTCTCCTGCTGATGTTCAGGTGTATATCAGTATGTAGTGTCTCTACTTTAAAGAGTCCTCTCCTGCTGATGTTCAGGTGTATATCAGTATGTAGTGTCTCTACTTTAAAGAGTCCTCTCCTGCTGATGTTCAGGTGTATATCAGTATGTAGTGTCTCTACTTTAAAGAGTCCTCTCCTGATGATGTTCAGGTGTATATCAGTATTTAGTGTCTCTACTGGGACATGTCTCCATGCTATAATGTTCAAAAAGCTCTTTATTTTTCTCATACTGCCTGTTCTGCAGCACCTCTTTTCACCCTCTGTCTGAAACCAGAGCCCAGTCTGCTCTGATTGGTTAGCTGGCCGGCTCTGTTGTGATTGGTCAACCGCTTAGAGATGTCCCGCCCCTTAGCCTATAGCCTACATAGTGATATCACAATGTTACAGAAGTAAACAAAGGAGTTCAATGGAGGCGTTTTAGGGGTGGGGGGGGGCGGGGGGTTCGACTGTTGATGAAGTTGATGTTTTGTTGAAGTTTCCTCATCAAAACAGTCGAACCGTCTTTCTTTTCTTAAAAATGATGAACCAACATTATGTTAAAATGTTGTTTGAAGTAACAAGAATTTGTTTTAATAAAAAAATCTCAAATTAAGTTTTATTTCAATAAGAAACAAGTTGAGATATTTAGATTGATGTCACTGGTTTTAAAATCCTTTACTGTACTGCTGTAACCTGTCGCTATCATGTTGCCATGTAACATGCATGTTATTTTAATTAGCGTGTCCTGTAATGTGAGCCTCTGTCTGACATATGTTTAACGATTTTAACAACTTTTTCAAATATTTTAATTCATTTTAAGGGTGACTTGATTCCTCAATTGTTAACCAAACAAATAAATAAAAAACAATACATTCACAAATTAGTTTTTCCACAGTTGAATATATACAATCACTTAAGGAAGTTAAAACCATTTTGATATTGTAAAATCACCATAGTACTTTTAACTAATATCTGATAATGTCCATACCTCTCTACTGTATTACACATTACCCAATACTGTATTATACATCCTACTGCATATCAGTTTAATATCTCACTAATCATATATGTGTAAATATGCTTTGATTGTCAGATGCTTCTGTGCAATGACACAAATGTAATTTAAGCTCTGAAGAGTGTTTCTTACCCTGGAGATGGTGAGGGGCATGTTGAAGTCCTTGCCCCCCTGCAGTCTGAAGCCCCAGGGCCCGGGGCCGGGGAGCGTCACTGTGTAGCAGCTCATTCTTAAAAAGATCCTCCCAAAAATGTACGCTTAAACCTTTAAAATGTGTTCAAAACCCCACAGCTGCTGGAGAGACGGGAGGGCAGCGGGGAGCCTCTGAAATCAGAAACAAAAAAATGAAAAAACTGATTAAAATGAAAGAAGAAATGAAATGTAATAATAAATGACTTGAAATGCAACGAACCGAGACGGCGAGAGCGAGGAGACAGAAGAGGACTCGGCTGGAGCCAAAGTGACAGCCTAAGAATAACCACAGATACTGTAGCACTGTTGCATTGTGGGGGGGTGGAGGGGTGAGGCGGGGTGAGGTAGGGGTGTGAGTGTGTGTGTGTAGGGGGGGGGGGGGTTGGACTTATATGGTGTGAAAGGGGACACCCGGTATGCCAGACTCGCCGTGATTCACCGGGGCTAATATAGACCCAGCAGATTATTCTAGACTCACCCCCTCCCTCCCTCCTTCCCTCAACCCCTTGTACCCTCACCCCGTCGTACCCTCCCTCTCCTCCCCCACTCCCAGGGTCTCCCTCGGACCCAATCAGGGGCGATGCCAGGAAACGTCTCATTAACTCCGTGGTGATAAAAGATGAAACCTAAAGGCCAGCAGTGAAGTGTCTCCAGCAGCTGAAGGTCAGCAGCAGATGGTTCAGATCCTGCATCATAACGTCATATTTCACTGATGTAGTGCCCTGCAGCAAGGCAGCAAACCACTCTACAGGTGTGCATGGACTATTGGTTTATGTTTCACTTAGGAAACACAAGGAAGACCAGTTGTTTTTCTTTATGTATGTTGACATGGGTAATGCTGCTTATAACAAGTCCATCCATCCATCTTCTCCCACTTATCCGTGGTCGGGTCGCGGAGGTAGCAGTTCCAGCAGAGAGCCCCAAACGTCCCTTTCCCCACATCAACCAGCTCTGACTGGGGGGTCCCAAGGCGCTCCCAGGCCAGCGAAGAGATATAATCCCTCCACCTGGTCCTAGGTCTACCCCTCGGTCTCCTCTCATCCTTACTAGGTGCCCGAACCACCTCAACTGGCTCCTTTTGACGCGAAGGAGGAGCGGTTCAACTCTGAGTCCCTCCCGGATGACTGAACTTCTCACCTTATCCCTGAGGGAGACGCCAGACACCCTGCGGAGAAAACCCATCTCGCTTGTATCCGCGATCTCATTCTTTCGGTCATGACCCATCCTTCATGACCATACTGTAGGTGAGGGTAGGAACGAAAATGGCCCGGTAGACAGAGAGCTTTGCCTTCTGGCTCAGCTCTCTTTTCGTCACAACGGTGCGGTAAAGCGACTTAATAAGTGCCAAACCAAATGTTGACTATAAATGCAAAAAAAATGTATTGTCATTTTGATTATAATAGCAGTATAGATATAGCAATATCAACTTTGATTGTTTTTTTTATTATTATTTGTAAATGAATGGTGTTAAGACGCCAGGGACGAGAAACAAATATGGCAACAGGATAAATATATTTCAAATATAAAAATATGTTTGGATTGCATTTAGATTTAAGAATAATTCTTACCTTATAAAACTTTGCACGAACCCTGGATACTTTTCTTCACTTTGCTTCAGCAAGTAGTCAAATGATCAATGATGCAATGATCAAATTGAATCACTGTTTTGTGTTTATAACCTGACACAAATTACGATTTAGGCTCGTAATTAATCAATCAATCAATCAATCTCAAAATGTATTTCAGTTTGAAATGATCTACATTAAAGATAACTAGCTTAACGAGATACTCTGTTGCTTTAAAAAAGTCAGTTTTTCAAGAATATAACATCATTTTCCTGCAAGTTAAATCTTTAAAAAAGTCAAATGTTCTCAGGCTTTTCCTAAAACAGCTGCTCGATGTATTTTTTTACCAAACAGAGAGGAGGAAACAGAGCATCTGTTAGGGACTATTTTCAGCGGCAGATGAATCCACATTTGGTGCTGGAGTGAGTATTTCTGGCAGTAGGGAGGTGTGTGTGGGATTTAGTGAAAACAAAGTGTGTGTTCATGGGGACGAAGGGGCAGGGTTTGACTGTGAAGACTTTTCATTATCTTATTCTAAAATGGAGCAACTGTCATGAAATCTAATTAGCCCCAGAATAAATAAAGTATTAAAATACTGCTCGATATAAAACAAGAGCGGTTGTTTTAAAATAATAATTACAGTAACAGCAGCTTGTTTCTGTACGCCGAGGTAATGCTTTTATTTTTGACAGGTGCCAACAACAGGTGAGAATTCACACACACACACACACACACACACACACACACACACACACACACACACACACACACACACACACACACACACACACACACACACACACACACACACACACACACACACACACACACACACACACACACACACACACACACACACACACACACACACACACACACACACACACACACACACACACACACACACACACACACACACACACACACACACAACACACACACACACACACACACACACACACACACACACACACACACACACACACACACACACACACACAACACCACACACACACACACACCACACACACACCACACACACACACACACACCACACACACACACACACGTTCTGTGTTATATCATATATCATTGACCAACTACATTACCCACAACCCCTCTTTTTGTTGCAGTTGGACTCTACCTTTGTCTTATTGTGTTTTCTTTGGAGTAAACAGAACTTAGTTATAAATTGATAATTTATAATATTACAAATAATCATAACTGTTTATTAATCAACATAATGAAGCAATGTCCAAAATATAGTAATATATTTATTTTCACAATGTATTTCTATTCGTTTGTCAAACTTTTAAAATATTTGTTATCGTCACTCGCACCATAAAACCATGGTGAAATCAATCAAGGATTTTTTTTGTATTTGATTAGTGCCTTATTTTCAGTTTAACCTAAATTTATTAAATAAAAGTGCAGTCTCTTCGGAGGGCACTCTGCCCCTGAGCTGAGACTGACAGGCTGCTCTGGACTCAGCCTGTTATATCAGCTGCTAACTTTAGACGCTTTGTCACAGAGAGGAATCTGATGCAGAGCGTTCGCAGGGAACAACACACTCTCAAACAAGATTTAGTTTCAAATAATTTCACAAATGTATATTATGTGTAAATTCAGTATGTTAAGTTAAGTTAAATGTTTTTAATCTGGCTTAATTTACCTCCTGTTTGCTAGCTGCAATACTTAAGTACGAAACTTAAGTACAATTTTAATACTGCTCACTTTTTCTTTGTTGTCAAATACTAGTTTTTAAGAATATTTTCCTTAAAGTGGACCTATCATGCTATATTTGAATAATATATTGTAGGGCCATACCTATATAAAAAGGTATATTTATACGTTTTCTTTTTCAAAATACCAAACAGATCATGCATTTTAGCCATGCCTCATTTCGCTCCATTTTGCTCTCCTCCACCCTGTCTTTGCATGCGCTGCAGCTGACCACGCCCCCCTGCAAAGGAGGGGGCCGAGTTACGAGCGTTGTGTTACCATGCTGTTACCATGCCACGGCAACCTCTCATTCCCCTGATAGGTCAGCTCCGCCGTCCTGACGTCAGAGGAATGTTCAAATCTGGATCAGTCTGTATCAGATCCGTTGCAGCCCCTTTTTTAGAGATTTGGGTATGGAGGAAAATAGAGAGGGTTGTGTTTTCTGACACTTGGTGAGTTCCCTGGAACACCGGGGACACATATTCATGTATAAAAGACGTACAAAAGTGCATTTTGCATGATAGGTCCCCTTTAAATTATCTCAATTACTATTACTTTATTTGTGTTTTTTTATATTGAGACTTTACAAAAAAGACCACTTAATAAAATACAATGCATTATTATAATTGAACTCTACCCAATTGTTTATGAAGTTAAAATAAATAATAACAAAAATAAAACATATGTCATGCAAAATGCACTTTTTGATGTCTTTTATACAAAAATATGTGTCCCCGGTGTATCAGGGAACTCACGCAGCTTCAGAAAATAAAACCCTTTCTCTTTTCCTCCGTACCCACATCTTTTAAAAAAGGGGGTACAACGAGCGGATACAGATTTGCTGCCGATATGACGTAATTTCGGATGGTGGACCCACAGAGAGTTGCTATCAGAAACAATGCCTGATGTGTTTTGGACGTAATATGGTCGGTGTTTACATTAGCAAGCATCGCTAACACTCAGAGCTAACCTGTACTGGAGAGCACTTGTGTTTAAAAAGCAGAACATAAAAAAAGAAATCGGCTTGTGATAAACCCGCAAGAGAAAAAGCATTTGAGCTCCATACTGTTTCAGAAATAATCCTTGATGTGGTTTAGAACAGGATGGCGTTTTATCACAGCAGAATTTAACTTTATCTCCAATTCTGATCAGGCATTAGCTCCGCCTCCTCTTTTTATTTTTTCAAGCTAAGAACCCAAAATCAGCGTTTCTCTAAACAGGGCTGGAACAGAGGGATATGAGGGATGTCTGAAATGCATGATCTGTTTGTATTTTGAGAAAAACACATCACACATGTTTTTATATATTTTTATTAGGGCTGTCAAGTTAACGCGTTAATAACGCGTTAACGCAAAAAAAAATTAACGCCACTAATTATTTTAACGCGATTAACGCATGTGTATTTTTTGTCCTCGGCCGCCGTAGTTTCAGAGCGCATCGAGTGTAAAATACCATCTACAAGCTGATGCTGACAGCCCCGCTCCTGCTGCCCGCTTGTGGCAGACCACACTTCCACGCTCACCGGCAGGCCCGGACTGGCCATCGGGAGGACCGGGAGGGTGTGTGTATGTGTGGCGCGAGCGAAGCACAACTTACGTGTTGTTGTTAGCATCTGGTGCTAGCTAGCTGAGCTAACGGATATAAGGAGCTGTTTCAATGGAAAACAGAGGGAGCGACATTTTGCCGACAACTGCGCCGAAGCACTTGACTTTATGCAGGTAGCCAGACCAGCACACTCAGTGCGCGCAACACAGCTCATTACACACAGGCATATATGCCGTGAGCTGCACAGAGCTCCAACGATCACACACACACACACACACAACACACACACACCCACACAGCACACACACACACACACACACACACACACACACACACAACCACACACACCACACACACACGACACACACACACACCACACAACAACACAATCACACACCACACACACACACACACACACACACACACACACACACAACACACACAACACACACACACACACACACACACCACACACCACACACACACACACACACAACACACACAACACACACACACACACACTACACACACACACACACACACACACACACACTACACACACACACACACACCACACACACACACACACACACACACACAACACACACACACACCACACACACACCACACCACACACACACACAACACACCACACACACACACCACACACACACACCCACACACACACACACACACACACACACACACACACACACACACAGTATTGTATTATTGTATGAGAGAGGTTCCAGGTTGAATTGAGGCGAATATTTGTAATGTTCAGGTTGTTGTGTTTAATATTCATGAGAATATTTGTCATTGTTCAAATGATAATAAACAAACATATAAAGCATAGTTGTCCACTCATATGTTGATAAGAGTATTAAAAACTTGAAAAATATCCCTCTAAGGTACATTTAGAACAGATAAAAAATTTGCGATTAATTTGCGATTAATCGCGATTAACTATGGACAATCATGCGATTAATCGCGATTAAATATTTTAATCGACTGACAGCCCTAATTTTTATATATCCGAGACCCATAATATATGCCTAAAAATAGCACGATAGGTGACCTTTAATGTACAAAAAGAAGCTTCAGCCTTAATATTTATTTAAAAGAGTTTAAAAAAAAGCTCAGACAAGTAAACAAATTCGGAAAACATAAAATAGTGCAGAATTTTAAATAAGGGACAAAATATAACGTAAATTAAATATGAAATAAGGTAATAAAATGTGAAAGTATTATCAAAAGAATAAACTGAATGTATACAATAATATGAGAGGTGTGATGAAGTAAATCATTATATATTTATTTATACAGAAAACAGTAAGAAAAATGTATTTAAAAAGGTAAAGTGACAATATAATATAACAGGGTATATGCAGGAATCCTGAAGTCAAATGTAACACCTTTTAAGACCTTTTTTAAGACCCTTTCCATACATTTTAAGACCTCATCGCCACTTGGAGGTTTAACCGGTTACATTGGCGACACACTTTACCTCACATTTACTATATACAGTATTGATTGTCCTTCCTCCTTATCTTCCAACCATTTGGACGCAGACTTGCATTTCCCCATAACGATGTTGTTTAACAATCGGCGTAAACGGGCCTTTGCGCGCTATCAAGCAGTGAGCGTGCGATGTCCTGTTCAGATGACGTCAAATCCAACGGGATGCCATAAATAAACTACACAGAATCACACTACACACCTACGCAATGATTACATTCAGGCAGACTGTAGAATACAACCTCTTTGGACCATTTATATACTTATTGAAAACAAGCTACAACATGTAATACCTTGGAAAATGCCGTTTAATACTTTTTAATAGCCTTCATTTTCGCTAAATTGATTTATCAACTTTTAATACTTTTTAAGACCCCGCGGACACCCTGTATAAACTGTGTACTCATGATATGAAAACACTTTGATCATGAGACAGTAAGTAATAGACACATATATACTGTACAGCTCCTTATGACAACAATTTACTAATGTGCTCTATACTAAATCTAATTTTGATCCTTTGAAACCTAATTTTGTTGAACTCTGATTGGGACTAATATTAGATTAAAATGATAACTGTCGGTGCAACCCAATATTGTTTTCAGTTCATGACATTTGTAGATTTACATTTAAAGATCAGACTGAGTCAACTGGATGGCACGATGCGAGTTATTCACAGCCACATGAGGAGGGTGTTAGTGTGTGTGTTAGTGTGTGTGTGTGTGTGTCTTTGTATCTCTCTGCATTAACAACACATAACTGACCTCAGAGGATGAGGATGTGGATGTGTGAATAGTTTGTCATTTTAAACGGCTTCTTAATAGAGAGACTTGTTAAATTAAAGGTCAGTTCAGTCTCTCAGTGTGTGTGTGTGTGTGTGTGTGTGTATGTGTGTGTGTATGTGTGTGTGTGTGTATGTGTGTATGTGTTAGACAGACAATTTTACACGTTTCTGCTAAAACTTCCAATTCCAAAAACTAAATATAGAACGAGATGTAAATAACATTTTTGATTTGTATTGGAATTTTTTCCATACTTTATTGTACGTTTTTCTTTTACATACATGTATGTGTTATGATTTATTTTACCTGCTTTATTGTATTTATAATTGATTCAATATCTAAAACCATGTGTACATTATACACCACAACATCATATCTAATTTCTTGAAATGGAAAACCTGTTTCAGAAAAAAAGTGATTCTGATTCTAAGGTATAAAATCTGTCTTAAAACCGGATATGTTTTTTTTATACATTCTTATAATAATATTTGTTTTAGGAAAGTTCCTTATTATACATAAACTGGCCAAATGTTTCCTATTAACTGCTTCATTTTTTGTAATATAGCATTTTTAACACTGTACTAATCCTGAATCATCTAATTTTACAATGCTGGTCTCCCCTATATTTTGATAACTGCTTTTTGTAAGATTTTTGCAGAATGCAGGACTTTTACTTGCTGAGTATTTTTATTCTATGGTGTTAAAGTAATCCGAGTACTTCCTCCTCTTCCCTGGTCGTGCTCACCTTTGAATCCCAGGTGCAGACAGACACCGCCCACCTGCTGCTGCCTCCGCCCAGCAGCGCCGCTCCGTGCACAGAACTCAGCGCCCCCTGACAGCAAAAACAACCCGGTTTTAAATCACTTTTAAACCAACTTTAACCTCATTATTTCAGGCCTGAAAGCCGAGAAACTGCTGGAGCTGCAGCGGGGGAAAGTTGCCAGTGTTCCCCGGGTAGAGGGAGCTGAGAGCCGGCAAGGCGGTGCAGCTTGTTGCCGGTGCAGCAGATGAAGAAGGGATTAGAGAGTGTGTGCACAAACAGGTGGGGGACATTTTGAAAAAGGTGAGACACTTACCTGCCGGTGTTTGTCCTCCGTTAGCTCCGGGAAAAGTGATACACCGAGTGGGGGGGGACAGGCTGAGGTGATCCGGGGATCAGGTGCCCCGGCCGGGCAGAGAGCTGGATGGAGGCCGGGGGGAGGGGGGGTGTTAACAGTGGATCTTAATTACCGGGGTTTTTATTTAAAGAGGCAGGAGTGAGAAACAAAAATAAATCCAGATTTTCACTTAGAATTGTGAGATTGGAATTATAAATCATGGCATAGGCTAATTATTAATACTTTGTAATTATTATAAAACACAATTCACATTTGATACCTTTATAAGGGCAACACTCAAATGAAAACCCCTACGACGTCGTGGATTAATAAAGATTTTATTTTACCTCTTATTTTAATATGTGGAAAATATAAAATGTACTGTAGGTGGCGCAGTGAGTCTGATTTTTAAGGTAAAGCTCATCTCTCAGCTCATATAATTATCAAAAGCACTTATTAACAATTTTGCTTTTTGGACTTTTTAGTGCCATAAAAAAAGTATACATTTGTACAAAATAAAATAAGGATATAGTTTAAAACATATTTTTACAAAATAAAAGATTAGCTTTACGTTTTCAATTATACATATTCAATATGAAAATACAATTAATTTATCTCTATATTTAATAATGTCATCAATCTATTTTCATCCCACTTATTCTGGCTTCCTGTCCATTTTAGAGTTCATTTTAAGATTCTATTGTTTGTTTTTAAATCACTTAATGGGCTGGCCCCAGAGTACATCTCCGACCTCCTACAGGTGTACACCCCCTCAAGGGCTTTGAGATCGGCTGATCGGCTGGTAGTCCCAAAAACAAGGGAAAAGACCAGGGGAGACCGAGGGTGTTTCTCAATGTCGAGGAAGGCTGCTCCAGAGCCACTATTTCAAGGATGCTACGTCATCGAGTCCCGCCGAAGGACTGTTCCAATAGGCGCGTTCACACCGCAGTACTTTTCCCACTTTAGTTCCGATATAGTTCCGAAATGTCGCGTTCACACCAAAAAGAGCCGGAACTAAAATTAGTTCATGAGAACCTTTTTACCCCCTTTTCCGTCCCTGCTAGAGAACAGGGACTTTCGTGGGAGAAAAAGGTTCCTATGTCTGATTGGCTGGGCGGATTGCAAACCACGCCCCGTAGAACTCCCAAAAAGGTTTTGTGAAGCCGCCATTTCATTATCCTCGCATTAGCATTATTTGCATTAGCATTAGCCCAGCGCACAAACGCAGCGAGACTAATTTATGGCAACACAAAAGAAAACATGGGAGCGGTGGAGATGAGGAGGTGTCGGCGTTCTGGCGATTTACTCGGAAGGCTTCAGTAGAAGCTGCTGGGAGTCCCAGCAGCGTCTACTGAAGCCAGTCCCCAACTCCGGGGACTTCCGGCCGGGGACTTTGGGCGGCAGTATACGCCGTGAAGTTGTTTGCGGCCTGCCAGTAAACCCAAAGCAGAAGAAGAAGAAGTGACGGCAGCGGCTTCATTTGCCTAATCCTCCCTCAGGGACTTATTCCGGTGTCAACGCGATCTGTACTTAGTTCATCAGAACTAAAGAGTTCTGATGAACTAAGTTCTGATGAACCTTTGTGGGAAAAGTACTGCGGTGTGAAAGCGCCTATAGTCCAGGATGCTTGGAATTCTACCAAGCCCGGCGTCCTTCGTTGCGGGAAATTTCGAGGCTGCACATGTGTATCCTCCGCGTTCTTAAAATCCCCACAATGCTTTGCGCACGGACCAATTTCCAAAATCGTTGGCGGAAATCACGCTCCATTTAAGGTGGGGCCTCGCATATGACGCACACCTGTTAGCCTGTTCCACAATTCTTCGTTTTCCGAGGCTAGGAAGGATTCTTGCCTCGCTTCTGAAGGACCTGACTCGGAGGGACATGTCCTACCAAGGAAGCGTCCTCGACATTGAGAAACACCCCGAGCCTTCTCAGCGGTAGGTAGCCCCCAGGCTCTGGAACGACCTGCCCCCCCATGTCGCCCACTCTTGAAGCTTTTAAGTCCCGCTTAAAGACCCACCTCTTTTCCCTCGCTTACGAGTCAGTCTGAGCTATGCTGTACCTATTTGTATGCTTTTATTGTCTGTCCAAAGCCTTTACAGTATGTGCCTTTTATCTATTCGTGTAATATTATATTTTATTATAATGTTATGTTCGTTGTGAAGCACTTTGGTAAACCCTCTGTTTTTAAAATGTGCTATATAAATAAAGTGGATTGGATTATTTTCTTAAATATTGCTTTTCACATTGCATTATTCGAGTTATTATGATATGTATAAAATAATAGTGTAAAAGTTAGTTAGCTATTAAACAAGCCGTGAAATGTGAATGTATATTACTTGATACTGAATGTATATAGCTTTTATATGTATGTCGTGAATGTATTTCTGTATCTGCGGTCCACACATGAGTCATTCACAATTAATACAGTGAGTAATAGATATTTATTTATAAAAATAAATAAGAGCAACACTGAAGTAGACAAGAGTTACAAATCTACAATAAAACCCTCTTTCCTTTATCAAACATTCTTTCAAAACATAAACTTTAAAACACATATATATATATATATATACAACCCAGTCTCATGGAATTTCGTGTTATAGTCACGAAATTAATTTAATCTATTGATTAGTGTTCACCAACACGATTTTCCCCTTTTTTTTGTGTCACACAGAACGATTTTAAAAGCAATGTATTTCTATTGGTAGTATGTTTCGTGCCGGCACCACGTCTTTTTGTCCGGTCGGGTCTTGGAAGACCAGAAGCTGTGTGGTTCATAAAAACATTTTCTTACTCAATATCAAGCCACGATTATTGTTTTTATTTTAAATTGTATAATGTCGGACTTTTCTTGCCGTCCGCGAGGAAAATAAATCGCTCAGAGCCTCAGAATACTGAAATCTGTATTTTTTGTCATCTTTTTTTCCTTCTAATTAGTTATTATTTGGTGCAGGCACGAAACATACTACCAATATAAATACATTGCTTCTAAAATCGTTCTGTGTCAGAATACTGAAATCTGTATTTTTTGAAATCTTTTTTTTCTTCTAATTTGTTATTATTTACATTGCTTTTAAAATCGTTCTGTGTGACATGAAAAAAAAGGGAAAATCGTGTTGGTGAACACAAATCAATAGATTACTTTCGTGACTATAAGACGAAATGCCGTGAGTCTGGGTTGATATATAAAAAAAACACCTGCATTACCGTCTTTTCAACATTTACTCAATGCTGCTGCTGGTTTAATTGATGCGTTATGATGTTAGGTTGAATGATTTGTAATCTAGTAACACCGGTACAGTACAGGTTTGTGTTACTGCAGGCCTCATTACAAAAGGTTTAAACTGGGAGTAAATTAATCAACTATTTAAAACTCCAAATATAATGCAAAGCTGTCAAAACATCAGTGTTTTTGGGGCTAATCTTAGTAGCTAGCACTTAAGAGTCCGGTTAGCTTATAGTTAGGTTTAGCAGCTAAATCATTTAGGCTGATGGTAAAATTAAGCAGCTTAAAAAACGTGTTTTAATTTAGCTAAACATAATTTCACCTAGAAAAGAGTTTTGTTAAGGTTTCTTAAAAGACTGGTTTACCTCCTAAAACATTTTGATAAGGTTAGCTAGGAAGTTAGCTTACTTTCACTTGGCTAAAGGTTCAGTTCAACGGAGAAACAGATTTGGTTTTGTTTAGAAAATGGTTCGATTTAAAGCAGCTACATTTTCTTTATAAGGATTACTTTATACATTAAAAACATTTGTATTTGGTAACAGTCCAGTTTTACACCTACATCGTATTAATGGGTAAACAGTAGCTAGCCTCTTAGTTTAGCTGCTAGCCATATCTTCCTTTATCAGTTTAATAGTTAGCTAATTGTTCTGTTATACAGCCTAAACAGCTTGGTGAAGTTTAGATAATAGTAGAGCGGCTACATTATCTTAATAAGGGTTAGCTAACCGATTGAATAATTGAGAATATTAAACAGTTTGTTTATTTGTTTTATCCTGCTTGATTCTGGTTTGTTAACAATATAGTTTAACAGCACTTAAAACACATTAACGCTAGATAGCAACTTCATTTAGTGCACTAGCCAATACGTCATTTTGCAGTATAACAGTTTTGGCTTAACAGCTTTTAAAAGATTGTTTTAGTTTAACTATACGCAACATAAAATGACCTCAGGTTTGTTAAAGGTGGGGTAGGTAATTCACTTCAGAAACACTCTTTGTTATATTCCATGGAATGCTCTTAACATCCCGATAGCAATGAAAACATTAAATGCTTTGACAATAAATACATAAAAAAATGTCATCTGTGGAAGCCGTGGTGCTGTAAAAAGCACGACCAATCATCTGAGCCGGCCCGGCTAAAATAACTGGATGGCCTACCTGCCTGTCAGCCTTCCATCTGTGCACAAACTTATCTCGTGCCCTCATTGGTCATGTGCGCGTTCGTGTGTGTTGGAGGAGGGGCTCTGTAAGGAAGTCTGAAGGAAGAGGCAGATTTTTTCCGGTTGTGTACTTTCAAATTCTAGCGCACTCGAGCTGGTTTCTCCATTCTTACCTACCCTACCTTTAACTGGATTTTATGAAAACTGGAGCAGAAAACTTGTCATATATGCTGCGTTTTTTTTAAAGAAACATTCAAATATACTTTAGGGCAATGTACAAATTACTTCACACAGTCCAACAGGTCAGCTTATCAAGAGCTGCTTTACAATCAACAATAATTTCCCTTTAAACCCCCACAATAACATCAACATCATCACAATCACATTCCACTAAACTGCCTCGCAGCAAATTATACACTTTAAATATTCAATCAAAAAGAAGACAGAAAAATACATTTAAAACACAACAGATGGCAGGAAAACTTGAAATATCTTTTAAAAAGTGCGATTGCAGGACTTCACTGAGAGAAGGAAAAACACTTGATTTAATGCAGTCAGACAGTTTGGAAAAGTTAGCATCAAAACACTATCCAAGGTGTAAACTCATAGGAGTGCAGTACAGGGTAAAGTCCAGCAGGTGGTTAGCCTAGCTTAGCACAATGACTGGAAGAGCCATGGATGTATAATAAGAACTGGATACAGCGTGGGAGGCGGGGTCTTGTTCTTTCCTATGAGAGCTGCTCATTGGCGCATGAAGGCATAATGGCCCAATTTTTGAGAGAGCGAAACGTCACAGATTACCCGTCATGCCTGGCTAGAGCATGGACAGTTGAGTTGCCCTTTAAGCCCCGCCCCCCGAGCTCCCACTCTCGGCTCACTAGAATGAATGGAGAGAGAAAATAAATCTAGATTCGGCTTTTAGTGCATTTTACAACTTTAAGGACTTAATGATTCTAATAAGGGCTATAACATAGTTCATACTGGGTAGTTTATTTAGTTTAAAAAAAATTATCCGCTGATTTACAGACGTCTCTTTCCCAATGTTAGTCAATGGGAAAAAGTTGTTTTGGGCCAGGTGACGTCACGGACTGATACGGAAGTTGCAGTACCGCCGTTTGGACACAACGAATATTGGGCACAGAGTCCGGCACACTTCCTGGGGGCTTGCTGGAAGCAGGTGAAAATGCTAGCCTAGCTCCAAGTGAAAATGTATATTTTCAAAATGAAGTTTTTCCATAATTTTGTGCTAAAAACAATTAGGTAAAATGTTTCAGGCTCCTTTGTTCTGAAACTAGGATTTATAGATAAAGAATGTTTTGTAACATGTTGAATAATAATGTTTCTGTTTGTCGGTTGTTACGTATAGGTTGTCTTTTTATGAATGGTCAATTGCACGTTTTTATATTTACTTATTGTAAAACAAAGCTGTGACAGAGGACTGAGCTGGAAGCAAAGATAAATAAATGAAAAAGCACAAGTCTAAAACAGGATCCCACAGTATTTTTCATACTATGTCATCTCATATTTATAACTTATCCTGAAACACAAGAAAACTTTTGGTTAAGGGCTCAGCGGCCTCATCCCAAAGGGAAACAATTACAAATATTATCTAAATTAAATCAGGGGCAGAAACATGGTTTTCTTTGGGTTAAACCTTAAGTAAAAAAGTTTGGCAGTAAGGAATCTGAGGTGATTATACGTCTTTCTTAAGACTGGGTGGACTATTATATTAATGGTAAGGTCTAAAAACACAGTGTAAGTGTGAAGGCCCTTTTGTAAGCTTTTGTAATAAACAAATTAAAGCATTTTAGGGGATGTTTTTGATTTCTCTTACAATAATTTACTGCATTTTGTACTGGTCCATTGTTTAAGTCTGATCTAAAAGTGTTTTCTTACCTGTGTTTATGACTTAAAAACAGGTTAAAGCCAAGGTTTTGCTTGAAGTGAAAGCACTCAAACTGTCTGTTGTCATTTCATCGGTAAGAACTAGCTTTGGTTTGGAAAGTATGTAAGTTCATTGGCGGCAGTTAAGGAAAAATAAGATGAAAACTTAGTGTTGTGATGGAAAAATAAGTTATTATATAGTAAAAATGACAAATGAATAACTTAATATCTTTTAAATAATGACTTATTTAAGTGTAACATTTATTTTAAGAAACCTACTCAAAATAATGAGAAACCGTCTTCACTTTCAATTATTTTCTTTCTGCGCTTCAATTGAATTTCGCCTACATTTCTAAACATCTGATTGGACGTGAGCTCTACCCAGGCCCCTCCCCTGTGTTGCTGTGATTGGCTGTCTTTGATCGGCCATTGTAGGAGCCGTTTCGTCCAATGGGAAGGAAGGGGCTGGACTCCGAGGTGATGACGATACTTGGGATTCGACCAAGCGTGCCTCTCCTCACGTGTACCTCCGCCTCTTCCGTCTATTATAGAAAAAAATACAGTCTTGTGTTAAACTTTTAATGAAAAACCATGTTGTGTTTTACACAAGCGGCAAACTCTGGGGCAGAGCCGGGAAGCCCATAAGGAAGTGCCACAAACTGCAGTTCATCTAGTGGCCGGTAGGGGATGGCTGCAATGGAGCAATGTCCATAGACCCCCATGTTAAAATGCCCAACTTTACAGCAGAAATAAACATGTTTCTACCCCTGGATGCAGTACAAATTATTCTGGATATAGTTAGATTCCACCTTCATGACAATGGATTGGGGAGTGAATTTTTTATAACGCACCCCTTTTAGTTATATTAGGTCTTAACGTTTTTGCATAAATTAGGGCGTGGTCACTTTGATGGACAGGTCCCTGCGGTGACTGCTGCTTCTAGCTTTCTGTCCCTCTGCTAGCTCCGTTAGCTCTGTTAGCTCCAGGATGCTACAGGGGCTGATCCGGGGAACACAACTTGAACTCGGACGTGTTTGTTGTGTTGGTGCCTGGTGGAGTATTCTTCATTTAAATATCGGAGTTATCTTATGCCGCCTCTTTGCCCTTATTTGGATCAGGCTGGAGCAGACGGGAGTTAGACTCTGGGTGTTTCTCAATGTCGAGTACGCTTGCTTGGTAGCACATGTCTTCCGAGTCACTTGCTTCAGAAGCGAGGCAAGAATACTTCCTGGCATTCGGAAAACGAAGAGTGGAACAGGCGAGCAAGTGTGCGTCATATGAGAGGCCCCGCCTTACATTTTCCGCCACAGATCTGGGGAAATTGGTCCGTGCGCAAAGCATTGTGGGGATTTTAAGACCGCGGAGTCTACACATGTGCAGCCTCTAAATCTCTCCCTACGAAGTACGCCGGGCTCGGTAGAATTCCAAGTATGCTGGACATTGGAACAGTCCTTTGGCGGGACTCGATGACGTAATATGCTTGAAATAGTGGCTCTGGAGCAGCTTTACTACATTGAGAAACACCCTCTGACTTCACTGTCAAGACGGCAGCGGCCGACTCCGCCTACTAAGGGCTTCTCAGCAACTCTGCAGAAACCTATGGGTGCCGTCACGGACACTACGTCCATCTGCAAAACTGTTCACCTGACCTTATTGGCATTAGTTTTAAATAAATAAATAATAGAATAATTAAAGGTGGGGTAGGTAAGTTTGAGAAACCGGCTCGAGATACACTTTTTGTTATATTCCATGGAATGCTCTTAACATCCCGATAGCAATGAATATCTTAAGTGCTTTGACAAAAAAATCCATAAAAAAATGTCATCTGTGGAAGCCGTAGTACTGTGAAAAGTACGACCAATCATTTTAGCCGGCCCGGCTAAAATAACTGGATGGCCTTCCTGCCTGTCAGCCTTCCATCTGTGCACAAACTTATCTCGTGCCCTCATTGGTCATGTGCGCGTTCGTGTGTGTTGGAGGAGGGGCTCTATAAGGAAGTGGCAGATTTTCTCCGGTTGTGTATTTTCAAATTCTAGCGACCTCGAGCCGGTTTCTCAAACTTACCTACCCCACCTTTAAATAAACATTTTTAGAAATATTCTAAATATTATTTTTTTACATTTATTAATTAATTAATTTCAGAATTGTTTTATATATTGAGAAAAATATGTTCTTATGTATTAAATATATATTTTTTACATATTTGATAATCACTTGTGTCTGTCCTGATTAATTAATCAGACTCACATTTGGGACACTGCTGCGTTCACTGACTCCTGCCGTGGAAATATCAGGATCACAGGACGCCTGTAAGAAAAGACAACAGATTATTATCATTATTATTATTATTATTATTAACCTGCGACCTGCCTCCTTTTTGTCACACTAAGACTTTAATATTCCTTAATTACATTTCGATCAAATCAGGACAATGCATCAAACTCTAATGAATCACCCAGAATTTGAAAAAACGTCAATGATTAAGATCAGAGGGATTTTCTGGTCAGAGATGAAAAAGCACATCAAGCTGATTAAAAAGCATAAAAATCACAGAGCGGCAAATTAACATGAACGCTGGTGTTATGAAAGAAGATCTTCTGCTTTCAGACACAAACTGACCCCTGAAACGACCCAGAAACCCCCTCAGGTGACACTGAGTGAAACAGTATTAATCTACATGAAGAGATTTCTGGAACAAGTCTTTAAACGTCCTGTTGTGTAATCTGTCTGAAGGTCGACCAGCACTAAAGCTTCAATGTGCAAATTCTATCTGTTTAGACAAGTTCAAATGTTTAGTTCTGCCCCTGTCAAATATCACGAGAGTTGCAATTGGGAGAAAAATGATTGCTAAATATTTTAAACACTGACAAACCAGTATTTGTTCATGCAAAAAATGCCAGAAAATGCTGTTTTCAGACCCTCAAATAAGGAGATTTCTGCTTTCTCAGTTTTACCTTTGGGGTTTAGAGTGATAAAACAAGATATTTAAAGACATGGGATGGATATTTTTCACTCTTTTTAAGCATTTTATGGACCAAACCACTAAACAATCATGTAGGTAAATGTTCTTTTAAGCCTCTCTAATATGGAGATGTGCTGCTTTTCTCAGTTGATATCATATTTAAATTAACATCATTTGGTTTTGGAGTGACAAAACAAGACATTTTCCTGACATTTTATAACCAAACTATTAATCTAGAATAGAATATGCACATAATAAAATTGCAGTCCTTTGAATCTTATTATATTTGTTTACATTGCTTTAAACTGGGGACATAAAAACAAGCAAACTACGTCTCCCATGGTGCATTTCACCAACAGACATCCAATCACAGAGCTTAACATTTTCTTCAAATTCACATTTTGTAGATTTAATTAATTCAAAAACATTCAACGGTTTTGGAGCACACCTACATTTTTCTGGCCGGCAACAAATTAGCATTACAGGCAATTTGTTATATCTGCTGCCTCAAAACCTGGCAATATCAAGAAAAAAATATGCTTCATAGTAAAAGTCTTCTTGCTGCACACAATAAAAATGTTATTGCATTACAGTTAAAAAACAGTCTTGGTTCTTCACAGTTAGATTACAAGTAAAACATTGTGTCTGTTTCACAATAAAAGCCTTCCTTTGATGCAACTAATCAACAACCACATTTAAAGTAACTAAAAGAAGCATCACCTTTTCGAATATCCCCGAGTCGTGGCTCTTGATCTTGGACTTGAAGCTGGCGGAGGGTTTGAACTCTGGGAGCTCAGCGGTGTCTCTGCTGATGTCACAGGAGACCTGGCGGCTGGCGGGTCGCGACCCCATGCTGGACCCATCAGCCTCGATATCTGTCAGACCCTGCGGAGGAAAAAACAATTAAACACGCCCAATCCCTAATCTCCCGATATACTTCCACTAAATGTGAGTGTTCACGTGGAGGGTCCACCACATTGATGACATGTTTTTGTACTCTGACCCATACATTTAGCATCTCCCTGGTTCCCTCCACTAAAAGCCAATGGGATTTCTTCATAGCATTCTGGAATATTGCAGGAGATAATCCCAGTGGCATCACCTTTATGATTCAATTCAAAGGTTTGATAGTCATATGCACAAAGCTACAGTGTAGAAATGGCAATGAAATTCTTCTGACCTGAGCTCCTCCAACAAGGCAACATATATAATAAAATACAAAAATACAAAATAAAAAGTAGTGCAAAAAGTCTATATGATACTTACACGTTAGGATCATTTTCACATATCAACACCACTTCAGCATTTTTGAAGTGAAATGCAAATGTTAGGCTATAAAGGAACTACAGCACAGTCACATGACTTCACTTCACTAATGGCGCATTTCCACTAATGGCGCATTTCCACTGCAGCGCGTAGCACGGTTTAAGCGTGCCGTGCCAAACCCGGCCCGTTTTTTGTTGCGTTTCCACTAGGGGTAGTTCCGGCTAACGGGTACCGTTTCACAGTTTTTCCGGCTCTCCAAAATTCAGGTTCTTTCCGGGCCAAGTATGCTAAACTAGAGAGAGAATCGCTGGCAAGGGGGCTACAACTACAACAAGATGAACATATTTGACCGTGATTTAATTGTAATACACGTTTCAAAATGATGCCGAAGTAACAACATACTGATACCGGTTAGTAAAAACCATGAGTTAATGCTTTGACAAGTCTGCAGACACACGGCAGGGGAAACACCTTTTAAAATGTGTGTTTTCTGAATGGAGATCGGCTAAGCTAACGTTGTATATGCTCCGACCGTCCACACTCACAACAACGGCCTACAGACATAAATAAAGCAGCGACTGTACTCACCATGACACAGGCAGTCTGTGGTTTGTACTTGTTTAACTTTTGTCTAGTTTCTGAACAGATATGAGGAGCTGTGAGCTCTGAGGGCTAACAGCTAACGGCTGATGTTGGTTTTGTGGTTCGCTTTGAAGATGACGTCACGGCTCCGCCTACACTGCGTTACTATAGTTACTACCCCAGTTCCTAAACTGTAATGGAAATGCAGCATAAAGTGAGCCTGGCGTACCAAGGCCTAACTATACCGTACTAAGCCGTGCGAGGCCCTGCAGTGGAAATGCGCCATAAAACCTTCCAATAACTAATAGACCTTCAGGAAAGGGGAACAGGAAGTGCTGATAATCCTGACTAATTCCTTGGTTTTAGGACTTATTCCTGCAGCTCTCTGTTGGAAGCTCTAATAATGCTATGACGTCTGTGGATCCTAGCTCACCGATTCGCTGTCGGAGACGGAGGAGAGGCGGGTCTTGCTGTAGCTCTGCGACCTCGCGTGGTTGCTGACGTCGGAGGTCTGGCTGGTGACGGTGGAGCGGCGCGTCGACACGAAGCTGCTGCTGGCGGAGCGGAGGTCTCGAGGATGGACGCAGAGCAGAGTGCCGAGACCCGGGATGTACTTCGCTAACGCTATCCTGCACAGAGCAAGAAGAAAAAAATGGTTTTCTGTGCAGATGACAAACATGTATTTGGTCGATATGATATGAAGACAATGATAGCTAGTGCACAGAGTAAGCCAAGAAAGAAAGCGTCATTCAGTATCCAAATATGTATATATGTTCATTTTAATTCATTTCTTATTTTAAAGTTACTTACCTGTATCTAATTTTATTTTTATCTTTGATTTTTGTCTGTAATTGTATTCATCTCAAATCTGTGTGAATCTGTGCTGTCCTGTTTTTCATTCTTACCCGGTTGCTGTTAAACTACTGAATTTCCCCACGGGGATTAATAAAGGTCCATCTTGGAGTACAGAGCTTCGCAAATGTCAACGGGGGGGGGGGGGGTGGTAGTGGAGTACAGAGGTTCGTGACCGCAGAGCGTGTGAACGTTGTGATCAGTTGTTTTAGCAGACCGACGTTAACAGCAGCCCTGTCTGTGCACACGGAGACCGACTCTGTCGTCCGGTGATCTAACCGCCTTCTGGAAAAGCTTCACAAGTACGTCGGTACGCAAATGCGCTTTGTGACACAAGTGACGGTATGCATTTCAGATTGTTGCCGCGCATGCGTACCAGTTATGTGCACCCCTGCTTATATGAATATAATAATAAAAAGTCTCCATAATAACTATAACTTTGACTCCAAATAAATTCAACACTGTTTAAGTACAGAGGACAAGTAGGACACACCTGTTTAAATAGCATTTTGAGTGTTTCCTTTTCCTATTTTGTAGGAATATTGTTATGAAAATGTAGCTGTATGTTGTTGTTCTTGGGTCTCATTAGCTGTGTCTTTTTAATGCTTTGTAAATCACACCTCTTCTTGCCTTTTTGTTTGCATATATGTCTAATATGCCTGTTGTCTGTTTGTTGTGTACATGCAGAAATTGGTGAATAATAAGAGGAAAATTAAATTCAACAAGCTACGAATATGCATTCATTACGACATAAATAAAAGACATTGACAGCCTTGTAATGTTTGAATCTGCCAATTTGAGGGATGGCCTTCAGATTTTCCTTTTAAATATAACAGCCATCTACAGTCAATATTCAATGAATGCGACCTACAGTTATATAAGCTGTTTTCTTTCCATCCTGCAGCTTTAAACTCTCACCGAGTGTATGTGTGTGTGCGGGTGTGTGTGTGTGTGTGTGTGTGTGTGATTAATTTATCTCCAGTCCAGTTAACATTCAGGTTAATTGAGCAGCGGTTGTTCTGAGGTGTTGGAGCGGATCAATGAGCTGCAGCGTGTTAGCAGGCAGGTCAACCTGTAAGGAGGCATTGTTTACCGTGTGTGTGTGTGTGTGTGTGTGTGTGTGTGTGTGTGTGTGTGTGTTACCTGTATTTGGGGTGTGTGATGGCGTAGATGATGGGGTTGTGGATGGCGGAGGCCTTGGCGATGACGGCGGGCACAGAGTTCATGTAGGGAGTCAACATGTCTGCGTACCTGCAGCGGGAAATAATAATGATAACTTCCAAATGCTCTTAACATCCCGATAGCAATGAATATATTAAATGCTTTGACAATAAATACATACAAAAAATGTCATCTCTGGAAGCCGTGGCGCTGTAAAAAGCACGACCAATAATTTTAGCCGGCCCGGCTAAAATAACTGGATGGCCTACCTGCCTGTCAGCCTTCCATCTGTGCACAAACTTATCTCGTGCCCTCATTGGTCATGTGCGCGTTCGTGTGTGTTGGAGGAGGGGCTCTGTAAGGAAGTCTGAAGGAAGGGGCAGATTCTTTTCGGCTGCGTACTTTCAAATTCTAGCGCACTCGAGCTGGTTTCTCCATTCTTACCTACCCTACCTTTAAGAATGAATTGTGGCTCCTGCATGAGGTGTTTGTGTGTGTGTGTGTGTGTGTGTGTGTGTACCCTGAGAAGGCGGTGAGAGCGACGGCGGAGTAGGGGGACCAGGACACGACGTACAGCAGGATGACGATCAGAGCGATCTTCGCCAACTTCCACTCGCTCTGCACACGCTGGAACTTCTTCGTCGAGTCCCGAGTGCTGCCGTGACTGTGGATGCTGCCAGACATCCCCACAGCCCTGACACACACACACACACACACACACACACACACACACACACACACACACACACACACACACACACCACACACACACCACACACACACACACACACACACACACACACACACACACACACACACACACACACACACACACACACACACACACACGGACATCCAGTTACTTTAAGCCTTAAACACAGACAGAAACAAATGTCAATGTGAATCAAACACTCCGACTCACTGGGTGGTGCTGCGAATGGCGCGGAAGATGAAGAAGTAACAGTAGATGATGATGAAGAGTGGTAGGAAGAAGACGAAGATGAAGAGCAGCATGGTGTACGCTCGCACCGACGGGGTGAAGGTCATGTAGTCCCAGCTGCAGGACGTCAGCAGACCCTCAGGGACGTACGCACCTAAACGCCAACAACACATAGAGAGAAATAAACGTTCAGCTGCTTTATCTGAGGCTACATTACATCATGGTTGTTTGATTATATCTTATTGTAACGTTGTACCACCTTGTGCTTCTTCAATACTGTAATTCAATGGAGAAGTTTTTTCAGTTTTCCAAGATGAAAGTCTCAATTTTAAAGAAGTAATTGGGATATTCCTTAAACAAAGCCATAAGTTGTAAATGTAGTCACATTTCTTGGAATAAAATTGGGTGTTTTCTTAGATTCAAGAGTAATTTTGCAAAAATTAAAATATTATATAACATATATTTAATATTCTGTATGTATATGGCGCTGAGGGAGGGTGGGGTACAATTCTGTGAACAAACTCCTACAAGGATGTGGTGTACTTACACATTTACAAGAAACAAATGTCACTATTTTTGTGAAAAACACTGAAAAATGTTGGGAGATTACAGTTGTGTGAAACAAATTGTGTATTCTCCTAGATTTAAGGAGTGGTAAAGTTGGGAAAAACTTTTACGTTTACGATAAAAAAAAGGCTATTCTCTGAGTTGTGTTTTCGCAGGGAATGGAAGACAATTCTCATTTAAGTCAAAACAGTCACAAGAGAGACAATCTGATATTATCTGATATTCAAAGTAGTAAATGTATGAGTAAATCATCTCTCAGTTCAGACAACAGACACATTTTTACACCTGGAAAGTATTTTCTCACACAGAGGGAGACTTATGGGAGATTTCCTGTTTCCTTACACTATAATTTCCACAGAGACAGTCTGATGAGGAAAATGAGAACCAGGTGTGTGTGTGTGTGTGTGTGTGTGTGTGTGTGTGTGTGTGTGTGTGTGTGTGTGTGTGTGTGTGTGTATGTGTGTGTGTGTGTGTGTGAACTTGAACTGAACGGATAATAAATGGGATTTGGAGGCAAAGTGAACAATAAGTTTGATGAGATAGAGAAATCTTTGAGGCAGAACAGAGCAGATTTATGTGCAGCCGATTAAATCTTCAACATGGATGGTTTAATAAAAGGTCAGAGGTCTTCACCTGCACAATATTACTCAAAGAGACATGGACCAACCAGGAAAAGACAACAGAAAGACTACAAAGTGAGTTAATAGAGACACAAAGTGAGTCCAAAGGGACACAAAGAGAAACAAAAGGACTACAAAAAACAAAAATGCCGTAAAAGAAAAAAACTAAATTCCTACAAGATGACACAAAAAGACACAACATGACTCCAAAGAGACACACACAGAAAATCAGCGACAAAAAAACAAACACAAAATGACTACAAAGACACGCAGAGATATGAAAAATTACTAGTAAATGACACAAAGACACAAAATTAGTTATAGAGACAAAAAATGACTACCAAAAACATACAATTAATACAAAACACAGAGAGACAAATTATTAATAAGACACAACATGATTAAAAAGAAACACAAAGAGATACAACATTAGGCGCTTTCACACCGGAGTACTTTTCCCAGGGATAGTTCCGATAGTTCTTGGGATTTTGCGTTCACAAAAAGATCTGGAACTAGAACCTAGTTCATGAGAACCTTTTCACCCCCAGGTTCCTGGGGAGAAAAAGGTTCCAATTTCTGATTGGCTGGGCGGATTGCAAACCACTCTGAAAGGTTTTGTGAAGCCGCCATTGTATTTGCTGGCATTAGCATTATTAGCATTAGCCCCGCGCACCAACGGAGAGAGAATAACTTATGGCAACACAAAAAAAAACAGCGGTGGAGTGATGAGGAGGTGTCGGCGTTCTGGCGATTTACTGGGAAGGCTTCAGTAGAAGCTGCTGGGCTGAAGACTGGGACTAAAGAGTTCGGCGGGACTAAGTACTGGGAACTAAGTACGGCAAAGTACTTGGTGTGAAAGCGGCTATTGAGACAAAGAGACACAAAATTACTACAAAAAAACTAAAAATGAATACAAGGAAACACAAAAAGTCTGCAATGACACAAAATTACAAACAAATTGTACAAAATTACAAAAAATGACTTAAAAGTGACACAACAAGACAGAAAATGACTACAATATTAAAACAGAATGTGTGTGTGTGTGTGTGTGTGTGTGTGTGTGTGTCCTCACTCCAGCCGAAGAATGGCGGCAGGCTCCAGGCCAGCGAGTAGGTCCAGGCGCCCAGGAGGACGAAGAACGCTCGTCTTCGTGACAGCACCCCAATGGAGGTCAGAGGTCGCGTGATGACGAAGTATCGGTCAATGGCGATCACTGTCAGCGTGATCATGGAGCAGATCCCGAAGAGAGCGCCACAGAACGCATACACCTCGCAGCCTGAGGACACACACATGGAGACACACACATGGAGACACACAGATAAAGACACACACATGGAGACACACACATGGAGACACACAGATAAAGACACACACATGGAGACACACACATGGAGACACACACATGGAGACACACACATGGAGACACACACATGGAGACACACACAGATAAAGACACACACATGGAGACACACACATGGAGACACACAGATAAAGACACACACATGGAGACACACACATGGAGACACACACATGGAGACACACACAGATAAAGACACACACATGGAGACACACACATGGAGACACACAGATAAAGACACACACATGGAGACACACACATGAAGATCATCATCATCATCATCATCATCATCATCATCATCATCATCATCATCATCATCATCATCATCATCATCATCATCATCCGTCAGGACTTCTTAGATCTGTTTCTTAAGGCCCGGACACACCAAGCCGATTTCGACCGTCGATAGATGTCTGGCCGTCGATGAGCGTCCTACTCAGATTGGTGTGTCCCGCCCCGTCGTGTCTTTTCGGCCATGCCGACAGCTTCCGCCCCCGATTCAACATGTCGAATCGGAGAGCTGTCGGCAAAAGAAATCACTCTGATTGGCTGTTCAGCTTAGCGAATCAGTGCATGAGAAGCGAAACGGAAGTGAAGAAGGCACACACAGACGGCTATTATTTTTCATTTTCATCTCACCTGGACGCAATAATTTATTTTACATCATGGCGATCAGGAATGAAGAAACCGAAGCCCAACTCAGTTGCCACGTAATTTGACAGGACTCTGTACGATGTGGCCATTTCTTTTTTTTATTGTATAAGGCTACTTACTATTTGTATCTTATTGTATTGTAGTCCATTGTTTACATTGTACAGTTCTACATTTGATAATAAACCACTTTTTACCGCTACTGCAAAATACACAACTTTATTTCGTACCTTCATACTACAGCCATTAAATAACACAACATTAGAATGAGGATACGATTAGCTATACTACAATAAAAGTCAGAAGATACAGATGTACATGATACATCATTTGCCTGCCAGTGTTATGATGTTGTATATGAATATAATCTTGGATTATAATTACTGATGCATGGAATGTGGTAGCAGCAGTACTTTACGGTTGCCAGCCACAATGCTTAAATAGTTTATTTCTGCTTCAGAGAGCTGAAGTTTGTATATATCACGCAGTCTGGCCGTTTCTCAATCGCGAGGATATTGGCTTCCAAGCCAATATTTCAAGGATGCTACGTCATCGAGTGCCGCCGAAGGACTGTTCCAATCTCCAGCATACTTGGAATTCCACCGAGGCCGCGTCCTTGGTTTGGGGGAAATTTCGAGGCTGCACATGGGTAGACTTCGCGTCCTTAAAATCCCCACAATGCTTTGCGCACGGACCAATTTCCCCAAATCTGTGGCGGAAGATGTAAGGCGGGGCCTCTCATATGACGCACACCTGCACACTTGCTAGCCTGTTCCACTCTTCTTCGTTTTCCGAATGCCAGGAAGTACTCTTTTGAATGACGAATACACACTACCGCCGCCTGCTGGTAAGGAGAGTTATTGCCACTCACGCATGCGCAGTTCGTACGTGCTACTTGGCCGTCGGTTGAAGTCTTTGCGGTGTGTTCCAGTGCGACACATGGCCAAGATGCAGGAGACGTGAGGCGACACAACAGTCGTGTTCTGTCGGGACGTGTTCTTTGGTGCCAGTTTGGTGTGTCAGGGCCTTTAAAGCCCAGCGTCCTGGACAAAAGGAAACTAAACCAAATCTATTTGTTGATCTTTCAAAATCAGATCTATTTATACCGGCAAGTTTGAGGAAGTTGCAACACGTGTTAAACACACTTCATTATTTTCTAACATTGGGCTTTAAAGGATCTTCAGCACGTTCACAGGTCAGGACTTCACGTCACCAACGCTAAGCTATAGGCGGCTAATGTTGGCCGTGGGTATTTACTGACGTGTTTTATGTTGTAGAACAAAACGCTATAATCTCTTCCGCTTCCGGTAACCTTATAGGGCTTTTATTGTGAAAGGTAAGGAACAGAAGGAGTGGAACTGGTTAAAAGGAGAAAGTGAGTTTTCATTTTTTTCCGTTTTTATATGTTTTTCAGCACAACTTTTTTTTATGAAACGTGTGAACTGACCCTTTAAAGCACACAGGTCAGGGGATAATTTAATTTCGAAATTCAATATTTTGAGGAGCCAATTTCTCACTTTAATTAAATTAACAGGTTCTTCATATTAAACTGACCTCAGAGCGTCTCTCTCTGGATCCTCTGTTTACACTGAATCACACCAGAGAGAATCCGAGTGTGTGTGTGTGTGTGTGTGTGTGTGTGTGTGTGTGTGTGTGTGTGTGTGTGTGTGTGTGTGTGTGTGTGCGCACATTTCTCTCCGAAGATCCACCTCTTGTGCATGCTGGTGGTGAAGAAGATGGGCGCCTGAGTGACGCACATCAGCAGGTCGGTGATCGCCAAGTTAATGATGAACATGTTGGCCGGGGTCCTCAGACTGCGACTCCTGAAACACACACACACACACACACACACACACACACACACACACACACACACACACACACACACACACACACACACACACACACACACACACAAATTAAGCTTGCTGTATATAAACAAAAAATATATTATTTCAGTGAAGTCTAACTGCTTTCATCCTACAGTAGATCAATGTTTTGAAGCACGATGGAACGTGGCAATACAAAGTGTTTTATAAATAACGTTTTTTATGATTTCTATTGTTATGGCTGCAGAGCTTTACAGAATAAGAGCCCACTCCTTTTGTGACTAAACAGGATGTTGCTGTTTGTCATGAAGAGGAGCCTGAATGGAGAAATCACTTGTGTTGCTCCAGCTCTAAAATCGATAAACACTCGCCACATCTGAAAGTAAAGAGCGATCAATACGAAGATAAAACAGTGTGTGGTCGATAAAAGCTGCAGGTCGAAGGTCGAAGAACTGTGACTCCGGCCCAATCCCAAACCACGCCCTACACCCTACCCCTACACACTACCCTTCCGTTTGCGCGTTCGCACGGAGGGTCCGCCACATTAAGTGCTGTTCCAAACCAACGAGTGTGGAGCGGTGTGGAGGGGGAGTGGGCTATCAAGCCCTCAAACAGCGAGTCTGCATCGGTGCTGACTTGAGACCGGTCTCTACCTGACCGGAGTCACGCTGTGTGTGTCCGTCAGGAAACACGCTGTTTACAAGTAGTTCCAGCAAACATCCACTGATAAATTGAGATGTTAACAACCTCATGATAACCTCATATGTTTTTAACTTAGGATCATACCTGTGTTTAGTCTAGAAAAAGGTAAATGTGTGCACTTTATTATAAAGTTGTGTATATTTACAGACTGTTGCAAAAACTAAGAAGCTTATAAACATCAGGTTTAAAACTAAAAGAGCTTTACAGAAAAAGTAACACAATGAAAGATGTTTGGAGTTTTATTTGAGTTCTTAATTTACATTTTTTGTCTAAGAGATGCTGATTTGAAACCGTTGATACATACAGTTACGGCATTTCCTGTTTCTGCCGGAGAGAGGGGAGTTTGTCCCAAAGCTTGCCGCTGTATTTACTCCCTCCATCTGACAGGAGGGAGCCTCGTTGAGCTGCGAGTGTGGCTACAGACGGAGTTCACTCCGCCACGGAGGGGTAGGGTCGAGGGAGTGGTTTGGGATTGGGCCTCCATCACACCTGTTCATCACACAGGTGAGTCACACAAAGCTCTGGACAGTTTACACCTCAAACACACGACACCTGTTGCCCTTACTTACAACGCCTACAAGAAATAAAGATCCTTTTTTTTGGCCACCTTTTGGGCAAATTCACAAAAGGAGTGCACAGCTTTTGTTGATTCTAAAAGAGAAAAGGAAACTGTGAAATGTACTTCACCTCCGTTTTTTTTCTCCGTCAAGTTTTTGCTTTGGGAACAGTAACTTTCTGCTAATAGCGCAAAGTCTATATAAAACAGGAAGTTACGTTAAGACATGTAAACAATTGCAATGAAAGTAACAAAAGCAATTGCCATCTCATTTTTTAGGTTCAAAGAACACAAATTGGGTTATTTACATAAACTATTCATATTGCAAATACATTTTTTAACCAGGAAGGGAAGACGGACATGGATATGACCCATGTGATCGCAATATATCGTTTCGCAATACTTAGTATATCGTAGAATCGCAATACTATCGTATCTTAAGTATCGCAATAGTATCTGTCGTGGGGAGCCTGGTGATTCACACCCCTACTCTTAAGTATTACCGCTGAACCGCAAAAGATAGCCTTGGTTACATATCTCATGCTCACTTTTAAAAGGTCAGATGTAACATTTGTATGTGATGTTTTCACTGTAACAGAGGGTAACAGAATAGTGTTATGGGGATGGGTTTGCTTCCATAAGTGGTAAAGAGAAATGAATGAGCCCTGTTTAAACAGTATATCATATTAATCATTACAGAAGAAGAACAAAGGACTCTACTGTCAGTGTTTCCCCTAGGATGGAGTCATAGCAGCGGTGCTAAGGCACGCCCAGCTAAATGTGAGCGCTTAGCGCGTGGAATTTTTTTTGTGTGTGCGCAAGCGAAATGCGCCCCGCCAATATGTTTCTATGTGTCTGCCAGCACAAGAAAGGCTCTTGAGGCCTAGTACATACAGTGGCAATGTCTCATGAGTAGGGTTGCAAAGGGGCGGAACATTTCCGGTAAATTTCCGGTAAGTTTCCGGTAAATTTCCATCGGAAATTAAGCTGGGGAATTTTGGAAATATTCCATATTGGAAACTTTCCATGGGAATAATGGGAATTTATGGGAACTAACTGGGAATTGAGGGTAATGTAATCGAATTGTATCATTTTATTTTGAAATGAGCTGTTGCGACTTCCGATTGATTTCGATAGAGCTGGTAACATATGAGCAAAGCCCTCTGTGGATGTCAGCATGAGCAAGAGAAAGGTATCTGAGGAAAATCGTGTTTTCCAAGAAAAGTGGGAGAAAGAATATCTTTTCACTGAATTCAGATGTTGAGTATGTTTGCAGACCGTTGCTGTAATGAAAGTAAGCAACTTGAGCCGCCACTACTACTAATATGTGTGTGTGTGTTCCAAGTAAATCTGCGGCCCCCTGGTGGCCAGTACATAAATGATGTGGCCCCCACCACCATCCAAGTTGCCCATCCCTGCTGTAGGGGGTGTGGTCTCAATAGCCATGCAGTAAGCAGTGTGCTATGTGCATGTGATTGAGGAATGGCATGGATATTCAAGTGAACTTGAATGGCATCTGTTTGTTTTAGTCAAGATTATGCTAAAATATACTTGACTAAAACAAAATTTAAGACACATGTTTTGTATATATCTGAGACCTATAATATATTGATGAAAAACAGTATAATAGGGGACCTTTAAAGATTCTCGGAGCAAACATATGTTCTGACAGTGTTTGTCTTTGTGTTCAGATCACGCCGGGTAGCAAGTCGGCGCAGGGTAACCTGGTGTAAAAACAGTATAATAGCGGACCTTTAAAGAAAAAAATAGAAAAATAACACTTTTGGCAGTCCTACTTGCTGAAGGCGTAGATCACCAGGAGGTTTCCGATCATGCCGGTGATGCCGATGGCGAGGATGACCGAGCCAATGGTGTAGTGCGCGTGGTCGGGAACGTCCACCGTGGGGAACGGGTGCGGAGCCTCGTGCGCCATCGCCACCTGGTGGACGAAACAGGAAGTGAGAAAAGAGACAAAGCTTCAGTTTCACAGCACCATTTGAAAGGTAAGAAAACAGGCTTTCCAACGGTATTATAACATGTCATTTGTTAGACGCTTTTATCCAAAGCGACTTACATACTCAATACTGTGGACAGTCCCCACAGGAGCAATTTGGGGTGAAGTGTCTTGCCCAGGGACACAACGACATGCTGACTGCAGTGGGGTTTGAACCTGTGACCCCCTGATCCCAACACCAAGGCTCTATCCACTGCGCCACATGCCTCCTTATATAAAATGTATTACCAAAAAGCATTGTTACAACAAATAAATAATCTACCAAACCCAAATTTCCCTACTTTTTGTGTTAAATCTATATGGATTTTGATCCTCCACATGGATCATATATCTAATGATGTCATATGGTTGATAAACAGTCCTACAGATCACATTCATGTTGAATAACTTATCTCTTTATACCGTTAAGTAAATGTCAAGAATCCATAGACCTACTCCATATTTTAATTAAATCTGAAGCCTGCTTCTCAGTGAGATTAAACAGGCGGCCGCTCTGATTGACCTCCATCTCTGATTGGCTGTTTCAGATATTTCTGCAGTAATTTATGCGGTTAACGTGGAAACGGGGAGACGGCACACAGATATCTGAGAGTTAATTAGAAACATGACGTGCAGGAGATATTACACTTTCAAAAAGAAAGAGGCTGGGAGCTGGTGATTAGGGAGATGTTGGTTTCTCACTGAGAGGAATGTCAATCAAAATGGAGGATTTATCCATCTTTTCTCATGCCTTCATGACACTTTGAATGCTTTTTATATAATGGTTAATTTGACGGGTGGCAAGAGATGTTCTGAAAAACACAGAAAAATGTAGAAAAACACTAGAATATTTTGTAAAATAAATGGGTTTGTGTGATATACATAAACACAGGAAGAGGAATTAAAATGGAATAAGAGTGTTCTGACCTAAAGGGCCACGGAAATAAGAGACCTGAAGAGTGAACAATTTAATATCATCAGCGCTGCTTGTGTCTTTGATTTAAGTAGGAAGTCCAAATGTAATGAAGCACAGTTTCATCCGACCTGAATTAATGTCAAAGTCAATGTAAACAGTACACACACACACACACACACACCACACACACACACACACACACACAGACACACACACAACACACACACACACACACACACACACACACACACACACACACACACACACACACACACACACACACACACACACACACACACACACACACACGCGATGTTGATGCTGCAGTGACCCATTAAACCATGAGTCAGCTCCACTGTGTTTCAGTTTAAATGGGCCATAAGTTGTTGTTGTTTTGTGCTCACAGCTGTGAATAAATAGTAAATGTTAAATAAGAAGTAGAACAAGAAAAATAATAAATAAATGGAAGGACGCAGTGACAGTGATGGAGTCAGACATATTGTGACAGAAACAAACAAACCCCTGCCTGCTGAAGGACAAACACTGTCTGCAGCCTCACAGCAAGCTAAAATACTAAACCTGAAGTAAAAGTCGCTCTCAATCAGTGTACATTTTTGTCAGAAAAACTATCTAAAAGGCTGCACTTCTTCTTTTAACCTTTGAAACCTTAAATTCCCTTCAAGTTTCAGCTTCCGAAAGTGCAAAATGACGTCCTAAAATGTCTTGATTTTGTCCACAACTCAAATATATTCCATTTTCTGTCGTAAAGTAGTGAACACAAATCAGAAAATATTCCCAATCAAGGAGCTGAAGACCGAGGATTATATAATTGTTGACATATAATCAATTTAGCTATGCAGTTTTTGTAAAATACAGAACTTCCTGTGAGATATTACCACTTTCTCCTCGTATATCTGATGAATAACTCCAACATTTGATCCAGTCGATGTGTAATATAAACAGATGTAAACCATGAAAGAAGGATTTTAAAATGTGCAGCATGTCCCTGAGTAAACATTAAAGGGGACCTGTGTGTTTTTTGCTTAAAATACCAAACAGATCCCCCATTGTAGCCATGCCTCATACTGCTCAAACCCCTCTTTTGCAGCCCTGTTAGAGAAACGTAGATTTTGGGTCCTTAGCTTGAAAGAAAAGAAAAAGAGGAGGCGGAGCTAATGCCTGATCAGAATTCTACCGGAGATAAAGTTAAATTCTACTGTGATAAAACGCCATCCTGTTCTAAACCACATCAAGGATTATTTCTGAAATAGTATGGAGCTCAAATGCTTTTTCTCTATCACAAGGTGAGTTCCTGCTTTTTAAACACGTGCTCTCCAGTACAGGTTAGCTCTGAGTGTTAGCGAGGCTTGCTAATGTAAACAAAGACGAGATTACGTCCAAAACACGTTAGGCATTGTTTCTGATAGCAACTTTCTGTGGGTCCGCCGCCTAGATATGACGTCATATCGGCAGCAAATCTGTATCCGCTCGTTGTACCCCCGTTTTTAAAAGATGTGGATACGGAGGAAAAGAGAAAGGGTTTTATTTTCTGACGCCGCGTGAGTTCCCCGACACACCGGGGACACATATTTATGTATAAAAGACATTACAAAGTGCATTTTGCATGATAGGTCCCCTTTAAGTCACATTCATTAGACGATACATATTAACATGTAAATCACAGCGTTCCCGCAGTCTCCTTATTATCTGAATGTTTTCCGTCTCGTCAGCAGCGAGTGTTTCTGCTTCAAGGTCGCAGAAATCTGTCAGCATTATCTCCGCATGTCACTAAGGATCCTGCTGAGCCTCACCCTCACATGATGTTTCCTCCCTGCTGCCTCTCTAACGGCATGTAGAATCACAGCAGCTTGAAACCAGAGCTATACCACGATGACCTTATTACATTTCCACATCCTGCATTCATGGGGGGCTTCACACAGTGCTGCACAATTTGGAAAAATAGCTTATTGTCATTAATTAGGTTTAGATGTGATTTGAAGGTCACCTATTATTCAAAATCCACTTCTTCATGTCTTTTCTACATCAACATGTGTCCCCTCTGTGGAAAGAGATTCTGAAAGTTTCAGGAAAAAAGATTCTCTCTCTTTTTGTCCTGATCCATTTATATAAAAACCTGTCTGAAAATTAGCTGATCAGATTTTGGCCACTTTATGATGTCTTATTACATGGCTTGGTTGAATACTCGATTCTGATTGGTCAATTCAGAACACGTGACACGTTGTTAATCCAGAACAGACAGACCGCTGTCAAGGACTTATTGACCGTTGTTAAGGACGCTCACATCTGCACAAAGAAATCCGTTCGATTTAACTGTATACAGTTTGGCTGAAAAACAAATTGCTTTTCGAACTGACAAGACAAGAGCGACAAGAAAACAAGGAGAAGTAACGGGCAGAAACCCTCCTTTTTACGCAGCGGTCCAGACATAGACATCACACGGCAAAACATATTCAGTGTGCAGTTAGGGCAGGGATATCTAGATACTTTCCAAGGTTTGACATAATGAATTGTGCTACTTTTAAAGCAAGCAACGATGTTTTCAAATCTGTAATCAAAAAGCTCCTCAAAAATGCTATCGAAGCAGTTCCTGCCGTTGCTACGTTAGTTCAAACAGTAACAACGGACTATTTTTCTTAGCGGATGCATTTAAATTTAAATCAATACATACAACTATTTTTTAAATCAATAAAATCATTTTCTAAATCCATAAAAGCATTTCAATTAATATTGGGAGTCATATCGTTACTTTGTTGAGAATGTGGCCGTGTAATAAGCGGGATAATAACACCGACAGGCAGATCTAGATCCCTCCGCTTCGCATCGGGCTCCTGATCTGCCTGTCGGTGTTCTTTTCCCCATAATGACCGCGTCGCTGCACATTATCATCCCTTACATAACGATGTTTTGGCTTGTGTAACCATTAGCCAATCAGCAACCAAGGTCACCCCCCCCCCCCCACCTGAATATCCTCCTAGAGCACCATTGTGTTCTTTTTAACCAAATCTCTCTCAGAGGGGCGTGGGGAGGGGCTCCTTATTTTCATCTAAAGTAACAGACAGAGAATCAGCACTTTGGAAACAGGGCTGAAACAGAGGGGATTATGGGTAATGCTGCAATGATCTGTTTGGTGTTTCAGCCAATCAGAGACATGTTCTGTATATATCTGAGACCTGTAATATATTGATGAAAAACAGTATAATAGGGGACCTTTAAGATATTGGAGGGATTGATCATTTTTGGGCATCATTAGTCCTATTATCGTTGAAAGATATATTTAAAATGATCATGATGGGATTTAAAGAGGATGAAAGATACTTCTCGAACAGGCTTTGACGATAGGTGCAAACATGTTATAACGACCGTAAACTTTTCCATTAGGAGAAACACGCTGCAGCCTCAAAAACGATGCAAATAACAAAACACAAATGTGCCAAAACACATGCAAACAAAGAAACATCTTCACCAACTTGTCGAAACATGTGCAGCCTTTACCAAAAGCGATGCATAAACGAAACACTGTGAATACAAAACGCTGCAAGAAGCTCAAAACACAACGGGGACACTAAAAAGTGACGCACACAGCTGGGACCGGAGCGCTTGTTGACGTTCGGGGATTATAAAATAGGACAAATGTCACTGTTGGAGGAGTTAGTTTGTTTCATAATTGTAGTAAATATAAAAGTGTTTTTTCTGTATATTTGAAATATAATATTGGAAGGACACATTGTTAAAACAAGTCAATAAGTCTTACATTTTAGGTAAATTAACAACAAAAGTGACTTACTTTTTAATCCCCCAAACGTCAACTAGGAATGCCAGAAACTGACCATGATCAAAATCGAAAATCGGACAGCCCTGGCGAATATTAATCGATTATTCGACATCTCTATTATTGTTTTTTATTTGTGTTTTATAGCTCTGCTTCTGCCTATTTTGGCCAAGACTCTTTTGCTAAATAGATTTGTATTCTCAATTACACTTTCTTCTTACGTTTAAATAAAGGCTAAAT